CGGATGAACACCTCCCTAGAATCCTACTAGATGCACAAATTAAAATAGATGTCAAATTAAAAATTTATTTGTGAGTCAATAATTTGTTTGAACATAGATAAAGTGAAAGCAATAATATAATCAGGAAAAGAGAAAGAGATAAGGAAAAGAGAAGAGCACACAGAGATTTATACTAGTTCGGGTATAGCCAACCCTACATCCAGTTCTCAGTCAACTCTTAACACAAGAGTGACTCCCCATTCACTATCTTTCAAATTCAATTTACAAATTACAATCAACACAGCAGAAGAACCAGTAAAAAGTAAACTAATTAAAAAGATAATCACCTCCTTAGAAACCCACTAAGGATGAACACCTCCCTAGAATCCCACTAGGGATGAACACCTTCTCTGAACAAATCAAAGGATGAAAAACATCTCCTTAGAATCCCACTAAGGATGAACCCCTCTCTAGAATCACACTAGGGATGAAAACCTCCTTTGAACAAATCAAAGGATGAAAACACCTCCTTAGAATCTCACTAAGGATGAACACCTCCCTAGAATCACACAAATCAAAGGATGAAAAACACCTCCTTATAATCCCACTAAGGATGAACCCCTCCCTAGAATCACACTAGGGATGAAAAACACCTCCTTTTCCACCAATGCAAAAAGGATGAAGGTAATAAAAATTAACAGACACACTTGGGTAATGGAGACAACAAATTGTAGAAGCCTGTAGAATGTCAATCTCCAAGAACAAGTGTGATTAGCAATGAAAGCACAGAAGGCAGTAGAGAAGAGGGTTTTCTAAAAAAATATAAAATATCTCTGTTGCCTTGATCAGAATTCTTTTCTCAAAACTGATTGAATGTAAATTGTATTTTCGAATTCTGTAATTGTGTATTTTTGATTTTTCATCAAAACTTAATTAAATAGAAGAATAGCATCAGAAAATGGTCGTTGGACATTAATAATATCATAGAGAAAATCAGGATGTATTAAAAAACATTTATTCTTTAAAACAGATATATTTTTCAAATTTGAATTGTCATAATTGATTATATTACCAGTATAGTTAATTATGATAAAGAAAATCATTTTTCCATTTCTGGTGCATCATAATTAATTATGACAGTGAAAAATATCATGTTATGAATTTTATCACACTTGTGCTTTGGAGGCTTATGCATAATATTACTTCGTCAACTTGTACCTCCATATCTAGTATTTTAAGACTCTATCTAGTCTTCAGGAATCATCTTGGGCTTGCTTGAATCATCATCTTTATCAAAAACATATATTGGACATGTAGGGAAATGTTTCACATTGTCACCTACGTCATAAATTTAACTTGTCCTTAAATTCATCTTAAATGGTGTTGACTTGAATGTAGTTGACTTGAATCATCATCAAAATCATCTCTTAAGAATGCAGGAACATTTCCATCAATCTCCCCCTCGTTGCTTTCAATATTGACATTGGTGTTGGTGTGCCTTACTAGTATTAGGAGGCTAGAATAGGGTGACTAATATTTTGGTTTTGGATAAAGTTTTTAAGGTGTGTCTTAGGATATAGTTTTACTTAAGGCTTGTTGGATATTGTAGAGTGCAAGACTTGATTACTTGGTGTTTTTCTGTTTTGGTTCTTGTTTTTCTAATATGAAATTTATCATTGATTGAGATTTGTTTCATTTATAATTTTAATTATTCATAATTTAATATATTCATTTGTTTTTTTATATTATTTAGTTGAATGAGATGCATTAAACGATTAATCAATTTTAAATTTAAGTGTTGCTTTTCTCAAAATTGAATGCAGTGCATAGTTTAAAACTAGTTAATTAAGATATGAGTGCTTAGAATTATATAAAATTATCTTGTAATTATAATTTAATACGAGAAATTAATGATAATCAATGAAACAAAATAAAAATTAAGAAATTAACCACTATTTTTTATATTGAATTTACATTTCTATTATTTTTCTTAGATGTTAGACTCAAAACCTCCCAAACTTAACTCTTTGCTATTAGATATTAAATATAAAATTATTCACTAATTTTCCTTAAAAATACAATCTAGATTTTTCTTTAATTATTGTATATCTTTTATGTTAAGAATTGTTTGATCTATTTAGATAAAAAAAGTGTTTTAATTATAAGTGAAGTTAAGAGTATTACATTAAATATCTTTTTCAAGATGACATTTGGAACCTAAATGTTGAAGTTCATGATTTTGATAACCATGTAAATGATGTATAAGAGATTTCTTAATAAGTCTTTAGTGAAAAATACTTTAACAGTTTATGAATTTATTCATTTATATTGTCTTAAGAGAAATAATATATAATGTTGTTAGTCCTAATAAACTTAAACACATGGTTTAAGTCATTAAAATTAACTCAAGTATCATGCTCCAATATTTGAATAAATTAATTCAAAATAAAATCACTAAAGTAGTTATAAAATGTAATTTTATTCAATTAGTAAATTATTTTAATCGATTAAAACATAATTAACTTTAAAATAAAAATAAGATTAAGCGAAAGTAATATATTAAAACAAAATTTTAATATATTAAAACATTCTTTATATCAAATCTATCTCTCATAAGAATATTATAACAAATTAAAAGGTATTATAATCAATTAAATATTTCAATATATTTTTTTAAGAGAAATTAACAAATTAATATGACTCTTTAAAATGTTCTTCATGTTATAACTAATATTTACAAGAGCATTTTTACTAATTAAAACAATTTTTAATTTATTAAAAATAAGGTAAAAAGCACAAAATCAAAGCATCAACACTCTAAAACGTATTGTACTTATCAAAATTTCAAGATAAGGTTAAAAAAATTATTTACAATCCTTAAAATCTAGAAAACGAGTTAAATTTAAAATTAAAGCAAATGCACAACTTTATCATCACATATCCATCAAAGTTAAAATAATCAAATCTATCAAACACTTTGAATATCCATTACCTTAAAGCACATTCTTCATCACTAATTGGTGCATCTTAGAAGGTTCTTACCATAAAATCATCTTGATCAAGTATTGTTGTATTATTGACAATGTTTGTCATGACAAGAGGGTTGCCTTATGAATTTCTTCTTCATCTATTGATTGTTTACTGTTATTAATATTTATATTCTATTTGGCTTTAGGGTGCAGTCGAGGTCTTTAATGTAGCGCCAACACAACTTTTTATTTAAACAAAAATTTTGTAAGTGTTACAACTTACAAGTTGTATTTAAGGCTTTATTCTATTCCATAATTTTTTCTTCACCATTTAAATACGCATTTAATTAATTGTTGTCGATGGAAGAGCTTTTACAATTTTATTCAAACTCTTTCTTTTGTCAGGGCAAATTTCTGGACACATTTAACTTCTAAATTCAATTATTTAGTTGGTTTGTATATTTTAAAATGTCATTTTAATGAGTAGTTGTTATAATTAAGATTATTGAGCATGAGTACAAAAATACGTTAAAAACAACATTTTAGTTGTATAAATATATTTTGGATGTTACGAGGTTTGTTAATGTACTTTCAACTAAAGATAAATTTATGGAAGTGTCGAAATAAATGTTAGGTAATTTAAGTGTAAGTTAAGTATCATATTATGTAAAAATAAGAGATTTGAATAACATATAAAGAAAAAAGACTCATAATTTAATGCCTTAAGATTTTAAGTTGAGAGTATTGTTAAATTTTATATGGATTGAATTCATGTCTCATTGGTGTTGTTCTCCCTAGTAAATTTTCTTCGAAAGACCCAACAAGTAGTATCAGAACTGAAAATTGATCGACAGTAAGTCGAAAGTCTAGGTCAGAGTGACCTTTTGTATAAATGTAGATAACTCACACTTAAGGGGATTATTGGGAATCCAAGTGTGAGTTAACTTCCACATTAAGTAAGAATGAGAATATAAGGAAGAAATTTGATTGGCAGAGAGATAACTCAATACCTTAAGGTTTTTTGTTGAGAGTGATGTCAATCCTTATATGTGTTAGGCTTTTGTGTCATTGATTATGTTTCTCCCTTATGAATTCTCCAAGAAAGTCCCAACAAGTAGTATCAGAACTGAAAATTGATTGGCAGAGTGACCTTTTATATAAATGTAGAGAACTTACACTTAAGGGGGATTATTGGGAATCCAAGTGTGAGTTAATTCTCACGTTGAGTAAGAATGAGAATATAAGAAAGAATGACTCATAACCTAATACCTTAAGGTTTTTGGTTGATAGTGGTGTCAATCTTTACGCGGGTTAGACTTTCGTCTCATTGATTGTATTTCTCCTTGTGAATTCTACAAGAAAGTCTCAACAAGTGGTATCAGAGCTGAAAATTGATCGGCAGTGGGTCCAAGTGATCTTTGTATCGAAAACCTTCCTAATAGAGTAGGTCAGAAAATTGATCGATAGAAGGTCGAAAGTCTTCCACACTAGGTCAGAAAATTGATTGGTAGTGGGTCAAAATGGTCTTTGTATCGAAAGTCTTCCTAACATAGTAGGTCAAGTAGACGTATCCTATTAGTATTAAACGATGATACTTGGAAGGATCACTAGTGTACTCGAAGAATGTACCACATTCAAAATTTAGATTTGGCAATAATAAGATAAAATTTTCATTTTATTAAATGTCAAATCTAAAAAAAATATATTAAACAAATCTAAAATAATCAATAATAACTTAAAATTTATGTATTGTTTATTTTAAAATAATTTATTATTAATGATAATAACTTTGATTAATTTATTATATGATTTTAAATACGATGAAAACCACTTTCATTCAAAAGATATTAATATAATAAGTTATATAACAAAATTTGGCCGGAGGTAAAAGCTAAGTGAAAACACAAGAAAAGAAATTAAGAGAAAAATATAATATTCAGTTAATTTAATTCTTTAATCAATTAACTTTTTTAATTAAGTTTGTGAAGTTGATAGTTAACTCTATTATTAGAAAGTGAAAAAGTAGAAGGACAGTTACGTCATTTAAAAAGGATGAGTGTCGGTTACTAGTTAAATGAGTGCTTCCATTTTCTCATAAAGAAACTCCTCCCAATGATACAAAATATTCCGCGAAACATAACATATTACCTTATTTATTTGGCGGGTAGGCATGAAACCAAATCCCAAAGAACAAAAAACGGAAATTAATAGAGAAAAACAGAGAAAGAAAATCGAGCTGAAAAGCCCATCACGCTACACTAGAGACCGTACAGTCCTAGTCAGAGAGAAGACACGAAACAAAACACATTCTCTCTCGTACACACATACCCCCACGCACTGTACAGTGAAGCTGCCAAAATCCCCTCTCCGTCTCTCCGCTTTGCAACCACCAAACAGCACAACTCCTCCGATCTTCCAGAACCTTCTACGCCACTCTACCAGCAACCAGATTCTTCACTTCAGGCACTCATAAACTTAACCGTTTCGATGGACTTGTACGGTCGGGGCCCCGCCAGGAATGGATCCAACCCGGTGAACCAACCCGAATGGCGCTCACCGGGCATCGACACTACTCTCGAAGGTCTTAATCACTTTTTCTTCTCGCTTGTGAGGGTTTCCTTAATGTGGAAGCTGGGTTGTGTTAATTATGAGGTTTCTCTGTGCCTTCTAATTAGGGTTTTTGTGTTTGTTTAGAATCCATGTGGCATTTAACGCTGGGTTGCGGCGAATCTTACCCTGAGCGGCCCGGCGTGCCCAATTGTGTGTATTACATGCGAACCGGTGTTTGTGGATATGGTAGCAGGTGTCGTTACAATCACCCTCGTGATCGTGCTGCGGTAACCCTTTCCATCACTTTGAGATTCTGCATTAGGTTAGAGTTTCATGCAAGTGTCTTGTTGTTGTTGGTTCTTGTAGTAGCCATTGTTTACCTGGCTTTTTTGACCATGTGTTGGTTTTATTACTTATTTTTGAAGGTCAATGTTGTGTATGAATATTCATTTATTGTGTAAAATAGTTCTTTTCCTTTTTAGCGAGGAAGGGGGGATTGAATTTTGACTTTCTCAATGTGAAGTGCATTTGAAAGTCGCAACCCAGTTTAAAGGATAAACTGGTTTTGTGTTGCATAAGCCTATTTTAGTTTGAAGAAAAGGATTAGAAAAATGTTTATGTAGATAGCTAGTTTTTATTTCATCTTATTGCTAAAGTGTATGAATATGAATTGAATCAGTTGAGTCAAATGCTGCTTAGGTTGCTGCCGCGGTAAGAGCTACAGGGGATTACCCAGAAAGGGTGGGGGAACCTCCATGTCAGGTCCAGTTTTTTGTTTTATTTCCATAAAAAAAAAATTCTATATAAAATCTGCAAAGTTTTAATCCTATCTCTCCAATTTAAAGTGGTTATACTAATTCTTGGTCATTCCGATGAGCAGTATTATTTAAAGACTGGAACCTGTAAATTTGGTGCATCATGTAAATTCCACCATCCAAGAAATGGAGGTGGATATTTAAGTCAAGCTCCGCTAAATACTTATGGATATCCGTTACGACCGGTATGACACTTTTGCTCTTCTCTCATTTGTAACCCACAGCAAACAATGCAATGGTTAAACTGTCGTTTGTTTAAGCAGGGTGAGAGAGAGTGCTCCTACTATTTGAAAACGGGGCAGTGCAAATTTGGTATAACTTGTAAATTCCATCATCCTCAACCTGTTGGCACACCATTGCCAGCATCTGCACCTCAATTTTATCAACAGGTGCAGTCTCCTTCTGTTCCTCTGCCTGAACAGTATGGAGGAGCTTCCACAAACTTGAGAGTGGCCAGGCCTCCTGTAATGTCTGGTTCATATGTACAAGGGGCTTATGGTCCTGTACTTCTTTCTCCTGGGGTTGTTCAATTTCCTGGATGGAGTCATTATTCGGTGAGAGGGATATATGTGTGTGTAGTGAAAATCAAATTTATTTCATTTTAGCAGTTGCTTTATTCTGACATTTTTAAATTGGTGCAGGCACCTGTAAGTCCTGCTCTATCTCCTGGTGCTCAACCTGGTGTTGGGGCCACTTCTTTATATGGAGTGACCCAGTTGTCATCACCAACATCAGCTTTTGCTAGACCATATACTCCGCTGTCCTCTACTACCGGCCCTTCTGGAAACATCCTGAAGGATCAATTATTTCCTGAAAGACCTGGTGAACCCGAATGCCAATATTATCTGAGAACAGGGGACTGTAAATATGGATTAGCTTGTCGATATCATCATCCTCGGGACCATATTGTGGCACGGCCACTTCTTAGTCCAATTGGACTTCCTTTGCGTCCGGTATGTATGGTTACTCACTTGGTTTGATTATGTGTCTTAACTTTCTTAGATATATTTGTTGGAATAGATTAGAAAATATATGTAATCATTATACCTAAGGTAGGAGGTTGAGTGTTAGATAATCTCTGCAGGGGGTTGAGTGTTAGATAATCTCTGCACCTAGTTCTGAGGAGTAATCTAGGACTGTGCATTTAATGTAATCTCCCTATTGTATCAGTTTTGTTAGATATTGTTTAGATATTATTTGATATTGTTAAGATACTGTTAGATATTGGTAACCACAATATCAAACAATATCTTCTGTTTATTCTGTTACTTTCAGTTACTCTTTTAGTTGTATCTCTCTATTATAAATAGACCACCTTATGTGTGATTTATACACAAGGAAAATTAATTCCCTATTTTCTCTATATTTAACATGGTATCTAGAGTTTAAGGTTATCTTGAAATTTTTTTTTTCCGCCTTTTGTCCACTGTTGGAGCCGCCCCACCGCTACTAGAGCCGCCCCACCGCTGCTGGTATACTGATCTTCCACATCAGAAAATAATTATCTTTGCTACTGAATTTTATTTGGTAGTGTGAAAGTGCATGTTTAGGAAAGTTCTAGCAAGGAAAGACTTGGTATTTAAGTGTGTCCATTAGTGACCCACCTCTCTTTCCTGGGAACTTACCTGGTGTACTAGTTCACGTTATTGTCTCCGCTACTGCTGGAGCAGTCACCGGATCCGCCACTGCCGGAGAATTCGCCAGAGTTTCATATTTTTTTTTGACCGGTAACATATGATTTTGCTTGTCTCGGTCAGGTGACCACCGTGCCATTGAGATCACCACTATCGGAGTTGGTCGTCCCATTGTCTCCTGCGTCATTTAGTCTTGACGAATTTATTTTTAGTATTCTCATTTTAGATTTGTGCTTCGTGGGTTAATTGGATTACTTTGGATTGTTTTAGAGTTTGTTCTCCCGCTCTTCATGACTTCTTCCACTTCTTCCACTATTTCTAATTTTGTTAACGATTCTTTTGTGTTGACATCCCATCGTGATGACCGGGCTCGCCCTCGCAAACAGAAAAAAGGGCGTCCTAAGTGTGAACATTGTGGCAAGCTAGGTCACAAGATTAACAAGTGTTATACATTACATGGTCGTCGTCCTCAATCTGCTGTAGTTGTTCAGACCAATCTTTCCCCACCTTTATTTGCAGGGGATCTTCCTTCTTCTATTGCATCCGACATGCCTGCTATGTTCAACAAATTTCTCTAATGGTATAAGGATCAACAGTCTTCTAGTTCCACTATATCTGTCACACATACAAATACATATTTTGCTGGTCTGACCCAATCATTTTCTCCTAGTCCTTGGGTTTTTGATTCGGGAGCCACTAATCATATTACTGGTAACAAATCTTTGTTCTTCTCTTTATCCTCTCCTAATCATTTACCTTCTGTTACACTGACTAATGGCTTTAGAGTATCATCTCATGGTGTTGGAACGATTAAACTTTTTCCTTCTTTAACCATTGATAATGTTCTTTATGTCCCTGGGTCTCCTTTTAACCTGTTGTCCATCAGTCGTCTAACTCGTTCTCTTGATTGTGTTGTTACTTTTACCAACAATTCTGTGTGTTTACAGGACCGGAGTTCGAAACAGGTGATTGGCACAGGATGTGAGTCTCATGGTCTTTATTATCTCCGTCCCTCTACACATGTTAGTACAGTTATGAAGTCGCCCTCTCTTCTTCATGCTCAGTTAGGTCATCCAAGTCTTGCCAAGTTATAGAAACTTGTCCCTGTCTTGTCCAACTTATCTAGTTTGGCGTGTGAGTCATGTCAATTAGGCAAACATAATCGTAATTTCTTTCCTCGTAGTTTCACACGTGGTGCTTCGTCCCCTTTTGTCGTGGTTCACTGTGACATTTTGGGACCTAGCCGCGTTAAGTCTACTTTAGGTTTTCAATACTTTGTTACTTTCATTGATGATTATTCCAGATGCACTTGGTTATTTTTGATGAAAAATCGTTCTGAATTATTTCATATCTTTTAAACTTTTTTTAATGAAATTCAAACTCAGTTCGGTGTTTCTATTAGAGTTTTGCGTAGTGATAATGACTGTGAATATCTTTCTCATTCTTTTAAACAATTCATGGCTTCTCACGGTATTTTGCTTCAAACTTGTGCTTATACACCTCAACAAAATGGTGTAGCTGAACGTAAAAATAGACATCTTATTGAAACAACTCGCACACTTTTAATTCATGGAGATGTTCCTCAACATTTTTGGGGTGATGCTCTTCTTACTGCATGTTATCTCATTAATCGCATGCCTTCTTCGGTTTTAGATAATAAAATACCTCATTCCATTTTATTCCCTCATGAACCACTTCATTCTTTACCTCTGAAAGTTTTTGGGTCTACATGTTTTGTTCATAATTTCAGTTCTGGTCATGACAAGCTTTCTCCTAGATCACATAAATGTGTTTTCTTAGGGTTTACAAGATCACAAAAAGGATACAAATGTTTTTCTCCTTCTCTTAACCGTTATTTTGTGTCAAAAGATGTCACCTTTGATGAGTTGTCTCTTTATTTTAAAAGTCAATCTTCACTTCTGTCTCCATCTAATCTTGTCAACACTCCTAATACATTTAATGTTCCTGTTTGTGACCCTCTAACTGTGTCTTCTTCACCATTAGTTCCTGCTCCGCAGTCAGCTTCTTTTCCACTGCCTCTTCAGATTTATAGTTCTCGAAACCAATCACAACCATCACCATGTGACTCTACTCAAGTGCCAACTACTCTGTCTACTCCGGATCTGACACATGAGTCTGACCTTTCCATTGCCCTCTGAAAAGATATTCGTTTTACACGTAATCCCTCTCCCCATTATATTGCTTTGAGTTATCATCGACTGTCATTACCTTTTTATACATGTCTTTTCTCTATTTCTTCTGTGACCATTCCAAAACCTGTCCGTGAAGCTTTAGCCCATCCTGGTTGGCGTCAGGCCATGTTAGATGAACTAAGTGTTCTTCATAATAGTGGAACTTGGGAATTGGTCCCGTTACCGTCTGGGAAATCTGTTGTTGGTTGCAGGTGGGTGTTTGCTATCAAAGTTGGACCTGATGGTACTATTGATCGCCTCAAAGCTCGTCTTGTGGTCAAAGGTTATACTCAAATTTTTGGGTTGGATTATGGAGATACCTTTTCTCCTGTGGCAAAGATGACTTCTGTTCGTTTATTTATTGCCATGGTTGCTCTTCAACAATAACCTCTTTATCAACTGGATGCTAAAAATACTTTCCTCAATGGTGATTTGCAAGAAGAAATATATATGGAGCAACCTCCTGGGTTTGTTGCTCAGGGGGAGTCTTCTGGGATGGTATGTCGTCTGCGCAAATCCTTATATGGCCTAAAACAGTCTCCTAGGGCTTGGTTTGGAAAGTTTAGCAAGGTTGTTCAACAATTTGGTATGACTCGGTGTGAATCATATCATTCTGTCTTTTATCGACACTCGAGTGCTGGATGTGTTTACTTGATAGTATATGTTGATGACATCGTTCTTACAGGTAGTGACAACCATGACATCTCTCAGTTGAAACAACATCTCTGTCACCATTTTCAGACCAAAGATCTTGGCAAACTTAGATATTTCTTGGGTATTGAGGTGACACAGTCCAATGATGGTATTGTTATATCTCAGAAGAAGTATGCCATAGATATTTTGGAGGAAACTAAGTTGATGAGTTCAAAATCTGTTGATACACCCATGGATCCCAATACTAAACTTCTACCAAATCAGGGGGGAGCCTATATCTGATCCTGAGCAGTATAGAAGACTGGTTGGAAAATTGAATTATCTTACAGTTACTCGTCCTGACATTTCTTTTGCAATCAGTGTAGTAAGTCAATTTCTTAATTCACCATGTGAAGATCATTGGAATGCAGTCATTCGTATCTTGAAGTATATTAAAGGATCTCCTGGAAAAGGATTGTTATATGGTTCTAATAACCATACAAGAGTTGTTTGCTACTCAGATGCTGATTGGGCAGGATCTCCTTCGGATAGAAGATCTACATCTGGATATTGTGTCTGCATTGGTGGTAACTTAATCTCATGAAAAAGTATGAAACAAAGTGTTGTGGCAAGATCCAGTGCAGAAGCAGAATATAGAGCTATGGCCTCAGTTTCCTGTGAACTTGTTTGGCTCAAGCAATTGCTTAGAGAGTTACAATTTGGAGATGTCACTCAAATGACACTTGTGTGTGACAATCAGGCTGCTCTTCATATTAGTTCTAATCCTGTCTTTCATGAGAGGACCAAACACATTGAGATTGACTGTCATTTTATTCGAGAAAAGATTATGTCTGGAGATATTAAGACTGAGTTTGTTAACTCAAGTGATCAGTTAGTAAATATTTTTATTAAATCTTTACGGAGTCCTAGAATTGATTATATTTGTAACAAGCTTGACACATACGATTTGTATGCTCCAGCTTGAGGGGGAGTGTTAGATATTGTTTAGATATTATTTGATATTGTTAAGATATTGTTAGATATTGGTAACCACAATATCAAACAATATCTTCTGTTTATTTTGTTACTTTCAGTTACTTTTTTAGTTGTATCTCTTTACTATAAATAGACCACCCTATGTGTGATTTATACACAAGGAAAATTAATTTCAAATCCTATTTTCTCTATATTCAACAAGTTTTTATCTATATAAATAAAGAACTATGAGAGGGGTTCTTCAAGCCCTCTAAAAATACTTTTTCTCTGTTTTTGAATATCAAGTTGGTATCAAAGCGGGTCAATCTCGCTCTTCCTGTTTCTGTAGTATCCGGCACTGTTTTTGCCGCCATCGACCGTCAGCCACCGTCCTCCTTCGGCCACCGTCCGCCGGCGGCCACCGTCTCCGGTCGTCCAATTTTCGCCGGCGACCACCGGATCTGAATCGTCTCACCGTGCGACAGCCAACCCCGTCGGTCCCGGAAGCTCGTTCTCCGCCACACGCCGCCTCTTTCTCCGCTGCATCTAGCACGTGTCATCCACGCGCCACCTTCTCCGTGTTCTGGCCCTCAGAACTTCATTTCGGTGAAGTCCAGTAGTCACCCTTGCGAAAATCACTCTTGGGTTTTCGGACTTCTTTGCTGTTTTCGCCCCCCTCACTGGTCTTTGTCCTCTTGATCAGAAATGGCTGCAATTTCATTCTCTGGAAGCCCCTCCATTACTTCCGAAAAACTAAACGGATAAAATTATCTATCTTGGTTTGCTACCGTCGAAATGTGGTTTCTCGGTCAGGGGCATCACGACCACCTTGAAAAAGATGGAAGCCATGTGCCGGAAGAAAAAGCTGAATAGTGGAAACAGGCAGATTTTCAACTATGTGCTCTATTGTTGCAATCAGTGGAACCAAGACTTTTGATGTCGCTTAGAGCCTTCAAAACTTGTCACTCCTTTTGGAAGAAAACTCAAACCATTTATGCCAATGATATCCAACGTCTCTACGATTCTGCAAATAAGCTGACATCTCTAAAAATGATAGATCATGATATGGTGTCCTTTATGAATGACGCCCAGTCGGTTGTGAAGAACTAAAGATGTTCTTGGAAGTCGATTCCTTGGATAAAATGAAAAAGAAGCTTGACAAGTATTACATGGTGATGATCCTTTGCGCAATACATCCTGACTTTAACCGTATCAGAGATCAACTTCTAACCACTTATGAAGTCCCTTCCATGGATACTCTTATCACACGTCTGATTCGTGTACCAATGTCTGAGACTCAGGAAGCTCTGGCTCTAGTAAAACCATCTGCCATGGTTGCCACACGAAGAAGAGGAGGACGTGGCACCAGAGGAGGAGGGCGTGGAGGTCGAGGATGTCCCCAATGCACCTACTGTAAGAGGATGGGTCATACACAGGAGAACTGCTACTCCTTGCATGGTTTTCCTCCCAAAATCGTCAATGTCTCGAAGGCTGAAACCGTCAACTCCAAGTTCACTGAGGACGAATACCAAGGGTATCTACAGTTGAAGTCTAATAGCTTGGCACAGACCTCTCAAACTGCCAGCACATCAACTGCTTGCATCTCTCAATCTGTGGAGGGTCAAAATTCATGGGTAATTGACTATGGTGCTTTTGATCATATATCTGGTAATACCTCCTTGTTCTCAACCATTTCCTTTCAAGAAAAACATTTCATAACCCTTGCAGATGACTCTAAAGCTTCCTCAAAGGGAGTGGGCCAAGTTTCCTTATCTCTCTCCATAAGCCTAAAATCTGTCCTTTTTATTCCTAATTGTCCTTTCAATTTAATTTCCTTAAGTCAGTTAACCAAAACCTTAAATTGTTCAATAACCTTCGATAACAAATATTTTGTTATACAGGAGCGTGGTTCGAGGAGACGGATTGGAGATGGATATGAAGCTCGAGGATTATACCTTTTTGGCCCTCGTCCACGTGTGTCCTGTGTTGCTACTTCGAGCCCTAAAATGTTACATGATCGGCTTGGCCATCCTCATTTGTCAAAATTAAAAAGAATGTGTCCTGAACTTAGTGGTCTCCAGACCTTAGAATGTGAGTCATGTCAACTAGGGAAACATGTTAGATCTACCTTTCCTAAACGGTCTCAATCAAAGTGTACTTCCAGTTTCTCTATTATCCATTCTGATATTTGGGGACCCAGTCGCATCTCATCTTTTGGTTTTCGGTATTTTGTTACATTCATTGATGAATATTAACGATGTACTTGGGTTTATCTTATGTAAGATCGCTCTGAATTGTTACCCATCTTTACATCCTTTTTGAATGAAATCAAGAATAAATTCAGTCAAGTAATCAAAATTTTAAGAAGTGACAATGTTAAAGAGTACTTCTCATCCACCTTTTCTGCTGTTTTGAGTTCACATGGAATATTGCATCAGTCCACCTGTCCTCATACACCACAGCAAAATGGTATAGCAGAAAGAAAAAATAGACATTTGGTTGAAACTGCACGTACTCTTTTGCTGGGTGCACATATTCCTGTCCATCACTGGGGGGATGCCATCTTAACTGCATGTTTTCTTATTAACAGGATGTCATCTTCCTCTCTCAGTAATAAGATTCCTTTCTCCATTCTATTTCCAAATAATCCTCTCTTTCACACCTCTCCTCGAGTTTTTCGTTGTGTATGTTTTGTTCATGATATGTCTCCCGGGTTAGACATGCTTTTTGCTCGTGCTATCAAATGTGTCTTCTTGGGCTATTCCCGCCTTCAAAAAGGGTATCGGTGTTACTCTCCTGAAACCAAGAAGTACTACATGTCTGCCAATGTTACATTTTTTGAACAGACTCCTTACTTTTCTCCTTCTGGTCAAGATGTTCATGTCATATAGCAAGTTCTTCCCATTCCAGTAGTTGAGTCTAATATTTCCAATGTCTCTATCGATCTCCGTAGTGATCCAAGTCTTCCCGAACCATCCTCCCCTCAAATTGATGTTGTCATTCATAGGACCCTGATGGCTAGTCCTGTTCTCCAAGACGAGGGTGAATCCCCCACTTTAGATTCTTCTCCAACATTGCTTCCTACAATGCCTCCTGGTGGAGGTGATTCAGGATGACCCATTGCTCTGAGAAAAGGTACTCGTTCCACTCGAAACCCACATCCTATTTATAATTTTCTTAGCTATCACAGGTTGTCGTCTTCCTATTGTACCCTTTTATCCTCGGTATCTTCTATTGCTATTCCAAGAAATGTGGAAGAAGCACTTGATCACCCTGGATGACAACAAACCATGATTGCAGAAATGCAGGCTTTTGACCATAATGCTACTTGGGAGCTTGTGCCCCTTCCACCGGGCAAAAAGGCAATTGGTTTCCGTTGGGTATATGCTGTTAAAATCGGCCTTGATGGTGCAGTTGATCGGCTCAAGGCTCGGTTAGTTGCAAAAGGGTACACTCAGGTTTATGGCCTTGATTATTGTGACACTTTCTCTCCCGTGGCCAAGATGACCACTATTCGTCTGTTCTTCGCTATGACTGCCATTCGTCACTGGTCACTTCATCAATTAAATATCAAAAATGCCTTCCTACATGAGGACGAAATTTACATGGAGCAACCTCTTGAGTTTGTTGCTCAGGGGGAGTCTGAACTAGTATGTAAATTGCATCGTTCTCTATATGGCCTCAAGCAATCACCACGTGCTTGGTTTGGAAAATTTAGCTCCATTGTTCAAAAATTTGGGCTAAGACGCAGTGAAGCAGATCATTCAGTCTTTTATTGTCATACATCTCTGGGTAAATGTGTTTACTTAATAGTATATGTTGATGATATAGTCATTACAGGAAATGATACTGTTGGAATATCTCAACTGAAGGAGTACTTGTGCAGACATTTTCAAACCAAGGATTTGGGAAGCCTAAAATACTTCTTGGGTATAGAAGTAGCTCTATCAAAAGATGAAGTTGTAATCTCTCAGAGAAAATATGCTCTTGATATATTACAAGAAACAGGTATGATTGACTGTAAACTTGTAGAGAGTTCTATGGACCCAAATAAGAAATTAACAACGAAAGAAGGTGAAGTATTCTCTGATCCAGAGAGATATAGGAGGCTGGTCGGAAAATTGATTTATCTCACTATTACAAGGCCTGATCTATCTTTTGCTGTTGGAGTGGTTAGTCAGTTCATGCAGGCTCCATGCGCTGGTCATTTGAATGCTATCATTCGCATTCTAAGGTACCTTAAAAAGGCTCCCGGACAAAGATTGTTATATGAAGATAAAGGAAGCATACAGGTCACTGGGTACTGTGATGCAGATTGGGCAAGTTCACCTGTTGATAGACGGTCTACCACTGGATATTGTGTCTTCTTTGGAGGAAACATTATTTTGAAGATGTATTGTGATAATCAAGCTGCTCTCCACATTGCATCAAATCCCGTATTTCATGAGAGAACTAAACATATAGAAATTGATTGTCACTTTGTTCGTGAAAAGTTGTTGACAAAAGAAATATGTACCGAGTTTGTTGGATCAAATGACCAACTCGCAGATGTGTTTACCAAGTCCTTAAGGGGACCTCGGATTGAGTTCATTTGTTCCAAGCTTGGTACATACAACTTGTATGCTCCAGCTTGAGGGGGAGTGTTGGAATAGATTGGAAAATATATGTAATCAATATACCTAAGGTAGGAGGTTGAGTGTTAGATAATCTCTGCAGGGGGTTGAGTGTTAGATAATCTCTGCACCTAGTTCTGAGGAGTAATCTAGGACTGTGCATTTAATGTAATCTCCCTATTGTATCAGTTTTTATCTATATAAATAGAGAACTATGAGAGGGGTTCTTCAAGCCCTCTAAAAATACTTTTTCTCTGTTTTTGAATATCAAGTATATTTAAATTCAAGCTGTATGGTGCTCTAGTGAACTGCAGTTATAACCTATGATGTTATCCATGTAAATATACATATCTCCAAATGTGTGAATAACACACCTATTCTGCTCAGGGCACACTCACTACATCTGTTTCCTACTTATTAGAAATCAAAATATGTTGGTAGTCTAGAAAAGCTGCTCTTGTTTTATCTTGGGCCGTGTAGTATTCAAGTATTACATAGCAATTGACTGATAGTGTGGCTTCAGTTGCACTAGGATCAAGATGGACTGCAATTGATCTGGAGTAAGAGACAATATTCAACTTCTGCTTTGCTCAATTGTAGAGTTGGCCCTTAACAGCACATAGTATAAATATGTATATATAAAGCCCTCCACAGAAGCTTTTCTGGCTTGAAATGTGGAGTTCAACATCTTATTTACAAGAATGTGGATAGCTAAATTGTGCTCTAGATCACATGGTCATTGAAACCCTCATTTCACGAAACTAACATTAGAGAAAAACTTAACCTGTTGAATAAGAGCATTTGGTTCTATATATATGCACCAGTACTAATGTAAAAAACCTGCTATTCACTCTATTTCTCTTTTTTAAATTAATATAGATAAAAGTGACTTGCTGTATTTCATTTCTGGAATGTACAAATTCTGTTCTTTCCAGCTTCCACTGAAAAGGCCAGTGTAGTGATGTTCATGATGCCAAATTTTGTGGTATGGTAGTTGCTGTTCTATCTTGAGTTGAGTTTTGCATGACTACTGTTGCATTATGTTTGAGGTGTATAGATGGAACATAGTATCTGAACCGGGTACTGCAGTAGAAAGGATTTGGATTTATAACATTGGAAGTAAATTTTTGTTGTGGTCAGCTATTGGATATCACAACAGCACGAGTTAACAATTTTGAATTCAGGCAGCCCTGCATAGACTTAATATGCAACAACCTATGCAGTTGTAAACACTTGTGACCAGAATGCATGTGCAAATGGAATTATTCACAATTGAGCTACCCAAATGTTGCATCAGTGTTTATAGCGTAATCCATTCATATATGTTTTTCCTCTCATTTTCACTAGTGTTTAGACCTTGATGGTTGATTTAAGGGGTTTGTTATTTGTTTGAAGCATTAATTTTGTGTGAAGTTTTAGTTGTTCTTAGGCACATTCTCATGTTTTATTGCAGGATTAAAATTTATTTGGTTTGTATTTTTATTTCTGGGATTTTTCTTAATTAATTTGTTTTCTAGAAAACAGGGGTTACAACCTTGTGCTTTTTATTTGCAAAATGGGCATTGCAAGTTTGGCTCCACGTGCAAATTTGACCATCCTTTGGGATCTTTGAGCTACAGTCCATCTGTATCTTCTTTCACCGATGTGCCAGTTACTCCATACCCAGTAGGATCTTTGCTGTCTCAGCTGGCTCCTTCAACAACATCTTCGGAGTTTCGGCCTGAACTGATGTCAGGATCCAAAAAGGAATCCCTTTCAGCCAGAATATCTTCTTCTGATACTCCTGTCGGTCTAATTTTCTCACAAGGTGGTGGCTCTGTCTCGCTATCTGATGTGCAACTCTCAAGTCAGAGTTCTGCCCCTCTAAGCAGTAGCAGAAGCACCAGACAAAGCAGTGAGATACGTTGATCTGGCAAGTGCAAAACTTGAAATGACTCCTTTTTATCTATTGGAAGTGATTACGCAAGCCTCCATTGCTTTTGTCTATAGTCCTCAGTATTTTGATGGCAATTGTTCAAAGTTTCACTGTCGGTGTTGAGAATTCATCATCCAATCCTGTTTAGAGCCTAAACTAGGTCATTCTCTTCTGATTATATTATCTCAAATAAGCATAAACTAAATATTGTCTATCCTCCATAATCTCTTATGAATATTATTATTCTTCCTTATTTTATGGCGTTCGTGTAATGATTTTTACATTTCTGGATGCATGTGGGATACATCGTAGTTCCTGCCCCATGTAAAGATGAAGATTGAAGAGATGGCTCAAGTTTCATTTAAGCTAGTGTTTATTGGTTTTTACTTTAGTACTAGCAAGCAACTCTCATCCAACAGCTACATTCTCTTCGGATTCTGTGGCTAAAATTGTAGGGAAACCTGGGTTATTGTTATTTTCTCTCAGCGCGATTACCATACCTAGGATGCAAAATATGCGCATTATTACGGCAAGACAATGTTTTGATGTAGTAAAAGGCTGTCAGAGAAACCTAGGTGGTTGGTATTTAGAACAAAGTATTTTTAGTGTAATTATTTCTTTACCACGTATTTTGTTATGCGTAGTACATCTTTAATACTTATTGCAAATGTGCATTAAAGAATATTTTTAAATCTGGATAATATGAATAAAACGAATATTTATCAGTTTATCGACTAATATGATATAAATAAAAAACGTTGAGATTTAAAATTGTAATGAATTGACCTTATAGAATTTTATTTATTTAAAAACTATTAATAATCTATTGAAAATAATTTGAACAGTGTCAAATAACTTTGGGGAATTAAAATTCATTTTTAAACATAAGAATTATAAACATGACTATGATTATGTACAAAACATTTAAAAGATGCGTAGAATAAAATTAAGACGTGTGATTGTATGAATAGGGTTGATTACAATAAACTGTATCATGCGAAATTGAATTCAATTTCCTTACTGCACGTCTCCTGCTTCTCGGCATCTCCGTCATTTTCTGAACGCAGCATGATGTACTCTCCTTCCTTTCTCTATTATATGTAGACAAGAGGACTCTCCACCCGAAATCTTGTTCGGGTATACAACAAGTTCAGAAATATTCATCTTCATTGGGCTCTTAGTAGTGTTAGTTAGACTCCATTTAATAAAATGAGGATTTTCTTAGAAGATAGAAAATAAAATTGTTAGAAAAGTCGGGATGACTGTCCCAAATCTCAGACGACCGTCCCATCTTAGTGCCAAGCTCAAGGCGATCGTCCCAAATTTGGGATGACCGTCCTACCTTCCTTAGTGCTCTAGGATGATTGTCCCAAATTTCAGACGGCCGTCCCACCCTCTTTGGTAGCTTGGGACGACCGTCCCAAAGTCTCAGACGACCATCCAGCTTGACAAAATCAGGGATGACTGTCCCGCCCTCCTGGGTGAGCGAGCCTATAAATAGGACTCCGATTCTCACCATTCCACTAGGGATGACAATTAAACCCGTATCCATGGGGACCGACCCGTCCCCGCCCCGAGTTTGACGGGGAAAACCTGAGTTGACCGGGGGCGGGAATGAGTAATGCAATCCCCACCCCGACCCCGTCCCCGCCCCGACTTTATATTTAAATTTAAAATTGTTAGAATTATTATTAATTAGTGGTTAGTGGTTAGTGGTTAGTAGTTAGTGGTTGTTAGTAGTTGGTGGTTGTTGTTTTAAATGTTGTAATCCTATATATATATATATATATATATATATATATATATATATATATATATATATATATATATATATATATATATATATATATATATATGAGATCATAGAGTGGAGTAATGCATCCCACTAAATTAGAAATCTTCTTTTCACTCTCTTTACTCTCTTAACTTGGTATCAGAGCAAGTTGGTCCTGCTCTGCCATTTTCGGTCACCGTCCGACCATTTTCCGGTCACCGTCCGACCATTTTTCGGTCACCGTCCGGTCATTTTTCGGCCCCCGTCCAACCACTTTCCGGTCACTTTTCGCCAACCGTCAGTCTCCCGTCCAGTCACATTTTTTTTGCTGCCGTTCGACGACTTTCCGACCACCTTCCAGTAACCTTCCGACTATCTTGGGTGTTCTCTTTCTTACAGGTTCCATTGTCTCCATCTTACATCTACATTATTTAAAACATGTCGTCAGGGCCCACAACCTCCTTTTTCGGAACTCCCACGATAACGACTAAGAAATTAAATGGAAAAAATTACATGTCTTGGTCCTCTTGAGTGGAACTTTGGTTCCTTGGACAAGGGTTTCACGATCATCTAGAAAAAGACGGAAGTAAGATACCAGAAGATCAGGCTCAACAATGGAAAAAGCTTGATTATCAACTCTGTGCTCTACTGTGGCAATCAGTAGAACCAAATATTTTGAACACTTTTAGATCCTTCAAAACATGTAACTCTTTCTGGAAAAAAACTCACAATATCTTCGTAAATGATATCCAACGCCTCTATGATTTCGCTAATCGATTAGCCTCTCTCAAGCAAGTGGATAAAGATATGATGACATTTATTGTTGAAGCTCAATCAGGAGTTGAAGAATTAAAGATGTTCCTAGATGTGGATTCGTTAGAGGAGATAAAACAAAAGTTGGATAAATTCTATATGGTTATGACTCTCCGGGCTATGAATTCAGAATTTGATCATGTTAGAGATCAAATTTTAACTGGACAAGAAATTGCTTCTATGGAAAGTTTGACTACAAGACTGCTTCGTGTTCCAACTCTAAAAGGAAAAAATAATCAAGAACTTGTTGAATCTTTTGCTATGATTTCTACCCGTGGAAGAGGAAGTCGCGACACTAGAGGAGGACGTGGAGGTAGAGGACGTCCTCAGTGCATTCATTATAAGAGAATGGGTCATACAGTGGAAAATTGCTACTCTTTGCACGGTTTTCCTGACAAAACTGTCAATTTTTATAAATCTGAAATGGTTGAACCCAAGTTCTCTCACGAAGAATATCAAGAATATTTGAGGTTGAAATCCAATAATTTAGCACAGTCATCAACAACCCCAAATTCATCAACAACTTGCATTTCACAATCTGTGGAAAGTCAAAATCCATGGATTATTGACTCAGGTGCTTCTGATCACATGTCTGGTAATGCCTCTTTGTTTTCTTCTCTCTCATTTCCTAAAACTCCTCATCTCATAACCTTAGCCAACGAATCTAAAGTAGCCTCGGAAGGAACTGGTCAAGTCTCCATTTCTTTGTCTTTAAACTTAAAATCTATTCTTTTTGTTCCTTCATGTCCCTTCAGTCTCATTTCCCTAAGTCAATTAACCAAATTATTGAATTGTTCAGTAACCTTTAATGCCAAATCTTTTGTTATACAGGAACGTGGTACGGGTCGACAGATTGGCGAAGGACATGAATATGGAGGCTTATACTGCCTTGGGACTAAATCATCTGTATCTTGTGTTGCATCCTTGTCTCCAAAACTATTACACAAACGTTTAGGGCACCCTCACTTATCAAGATTAAAAAAAATGGTTCCTGAACTTCAGACTCTTCAAAATTTTGAATGTGAATCATGTCAACTAGGGAAACATACTAGGTCCTCTTTTCCTAAACATTATGAATCTAGATGTGACTCTGTCTTTTCTCTTGTTCATTCTGATATTTGGGGTCCTAGTCGTGTCTCATCCTTTGGCTATAGATATTTTGTTACCTTCATTGATGAGTTTTCTAGGTGTACTTGGATTTATCTAATGAAAGACTTTTCTGAATTATTACCTATCTTTAAGTCTTTCCTTAACGAAATCAAAAATCAATTTGGAAAAGTAATTAAAGTTTTACGAAGTGATAATGCCAAAAAATACTTTTCTACTGATTTCTCCACTCTCTTAAGCTCCCAAGGCATTTTACACCAGTCTACTTGTCCTCACACACCACAACAAAATGGTATAGCAGAACGAAAAATAAGACATTTGGTTGAAACTGCTTGTACCTTATTACTTGGTGGAAATATGCCCGTTCATCATTGGGGAGATGCTATTCTTACTGCATGTTTTCTCATTAACAGAATGCCATCTTCTTCTCTTAACAATAAAGTTCCACACTCTATTCTATTGCCAAAGGACCCACTCTTTCATGTTTCTCCTCGTGTATTTGGTTGCGTATGTTTTGTTCATGATATGTCTCCAGGTTTATTTAAACTATCAGCTAGAGCCATCAAATGTGTCTTCTTGGGTTATTCTCGTCTTCAAAAAGGATATCGATGTTATTCTCTTGAAACCAAGAGGTACTACATGTCTGCTAATGTCACTTTTTTTTAGTCAACTCCCTTCTTCCCTTCTTCTATGCAGGATATTAGTTCGGTCCAAAATGTCCTACCTATACCCTTAGTGGAGCCATTTGTACCTCCTCCTCCTGACACCCAAAATTCCACACAAAATACACCAAAATCCTCATCACTGCCTCTTATTACCTATCAACACAGGAGCCAAATGATCAGTCCCATGTCCCAAGATGAGTCTTCCTTAACAGATCCTTCTCAATCATCCCCGGATACCACGATTCCTGATAATGATGACTCAAGTTGGCCCATTGCCATTCGCAAAGGTACTCGCTCTACTCGTAATCCACATCCCATTTACAATTTTCTTAGCTACCATAGATTGTCTCCTTCCTATTTTTCTTTTGTTTCTTCTGTATCCACTATTACTATTCCAAAAAATATGAAAGAGGCACTGGATCATCCTGGATGGCGACAAGCCATGATTGATGAAATGCATACTCTTGAGCACAATGGTACATGGAACTTAATTCCTATTCCACATGGGAAGAAGACTGTTGGTTTTCGTTGGGTCTATGCCATTAAAGTTGGACCAAAAGGTGAAGTTGATCGACTCAAAGCTAGATTAGTAGCAAAAGGCTATACTCAGATCTACGGCCTTGACTACAGTGATACTTTTTCTCCTGTGGCCAAAATGACTACTGTTCGACTTTTCTTTGCTATGGCAGCTATCCGTCATTGGCCTCTTCATCAGTTAGATATCAAGAATGCGTTCTTGCATGGTGATCTTGAGGAAGAAATTTATATGGAGCAACCTCCTGGTTTTGTTGCTCAGGGGGAGTCTAGTTTGGTTTGTAAGTTACATCGTTCTCTCTATGGTCTCAAACAATCTCCACGTGCTTGGTTTGGAAAGTTTAGTCACATTGTTCAAAGTTTTGGATTAAAACAAAGTAAAACTGATCATTCTGTTTTTTATTATATTGCTTCAGGAAAATGTGTTTATTTAATTGTATATGTAGATGATATAGTCATTATAGGGGATGCTGTTGATAAAATTTCTTTGCTAAAGAAACATTTATGCAATCACTTCCAAACTAAGGATCTTGGTTGTCTCAAATACTTTCTAGGGATTGAAGTGACTCAATCAAAAGAAGGCATCATAGTCTCTAAAAGAAAGTATGTTTTAGATATCCTGAAAGAAACAGGCATGATTGATTGTAGACCAGTAAACAGCCCTATGGATCCAAATCAGAAATTAATGGCGGATCAAGGTGAACCACTCTCTGATCCTGAGAGATATAGAAGACTTGTTGGAAAACTCATTTATCTCACTATTACCAGACCTGACCTATCTTTTGTCGTTGGAGTTGTGAGTCAATTTATGCAAAATCCGCGTACTGATCATTGGAATGTTGTCGTTCACATCCTAAAATATCTCAAAAAAGCTCTAGGACAAGGTCTGTTGTATGAAGATAAAGGGGGTACCCAAATATCTGGGTATTGTGATGCTGATTGGGCTGGATCCCCTATGGACAGACGCTCCACTACAGGATATTGTGTTCTTATTGGAGGCAATATTATTTCTTGGAAAAGTAAGAAACAAAATGTAGTGGCCCGGTCTAGTGCTGAAGCTGAATATAGAGTAATGACATCTCGCACTTGTGAACTAGTGTGGGTGAAACAATTCCTTTAAGAACTGAAATTTTGTGAGATCCAACAGATGAAGATGTATTGTGACAATCAAACAGCTCTCCACATTGCCTCTAATCCGGTGTTCCATGAAATGACCAAACATATAGAACTTGATT